AAGACCTTTGTATTACAATATGCAATCTTCTTATTTTGGATGGATATAGGCCTATACACTCTGTTTTTAAAAATAATAAATAGTTCTAACGAAGTATGTTAGTTTAATTGTGGGAATACTGTCGTATGGCAAACACTACCATCAATAAATTTTGATTGGAAGTAATAGGGTGATGGAACTTAGAAAAAATATATAGAGTTGCAAATGACAAGAATACACAATACACAATATACAATTATAGTTAAATACAATTGCAAACAATTGAGAGTTAGCAAGCTGTTAAAAGAAATCTTTGCGCAGTTTCTTGCACAGTTTGCACACGCTACAAGTGTATCAGTTTGTAGTTTGCAGTTTGCAAATTGCACAAACTGTGCGCGGCATAACATAGGCATTTTAGAGGACTAAGTAATGAGTTTATCCTACCTGCTTGGGTTCCGGAGATGAGCAAACCCACCATCATTATTAAAGCGAGGTAACTTCGAAGTCGACCCATTCTAAAGAAATTATATCTTCGTCGGTTTTCATTGACCAAGAAGCACAAACTGTAGTTGAACTAATTTTCCTGGGGTTTTATGTACCAAGAAAGAGGAAATAGGATAACAAAATATGATTGGTGGAGTATTATAAAGGTTCGGCCTAACAGTCCTGTCAATCAAAGAGGTACATCACTGGATACTGTATTAAAGGCGGCGTCTCAACCAGTTATACAATTAGCTTTTGAAACAATGCTTTATCTTATTGCCCAGGCATTAGCCAATTAGAAGTAGGGAACCTTTCAACTTGTTCAAGTTCGGACCAGTGGCGTGAACAGCTAAATCCGGGGACCCAAGACCTTAAAAGGCCCTGGATTTTCATAATATTTGCTGCACATCACCTAAGCAGGGCCTTTTAAGTAGCAAAACGTAAAAACCCATTAGGCCTAAACTAAAAACGCCCTGAAAGAACATCTAAAAGGTCGATTTGGGCGCAACCGTGGACATTCTTTGGTACGCCTACCCGATTTAATTATACCCGCTACTCTCCTTGTGTTGGGTTAGACTAGCTTAATTGTGCGTGACTTGAAGCCCAAGACACTCATAATAACAACAACAACAACAACAACAACAACAATAACAATAACAATAATAATAATAATAATAATAATAATAATAATAATAATAATAATAGTAATAATAATAATAATAATAATAATATTAATAATATTAAATAATGAAAAATAATGATAATATTAGTGATAATAATGATATTTATTTACTTATTTATTTACATTTATTTATATACCTAGGGTAGCCCAAACAATTAAAACACTGATTTCCATTAGGGACCTGCATTTAAAGCACATGGTCGTAACCGGTTAAATTTTCTTAATTAGTGCCTCGTACAGTTTGTATTTAAATATGTTTAGAGAAGTCGCAGTTCTCAAATCAATATCTAAGTCATTCCATATATTCGGCCCGGTCACTTTAAAACTCGTGGAATATCTTTCGCTTTTCGAAAAAAGGAACCTTCAACTTCAAAATAGTTGACTGTCTCGTTTCACGAGCTTTCAATAACTTTGTGAAAAGGTTTGTCATGTATAAAGGTGTCAATTGGTTAATACATTTATAAACAAGTATAGCTTTTTTATACGTAACCGGCCTTTCGGAAAACGAAAGCCAACTGAGTTGTGCAAACATATCTGCAGAGGGGGTAAGAAAATCACATTTTAAAACTATCCTAACTGCTCTTTTTATACACTTATTAAGTAAGATATTGTGGGATAACAATCCCACAATATTGTGGAATAACAATAGCAATAACAATTAACAATAACAATAACAATAATTATAGGCCTAATAATAATAATAAATAATGATAATAAATAATGATAATAATAATGATAATAATAATGATATTAATGATAATAATGATAATAACAATTTGATATTAATGATAATAATTATAATAACAATAACAATAATAATAATAATAATAATAATAATAATAATAATAATAATAATAATAATAATAAACAAGAGTAGGGAGCATATCTCCACCAATCGCCAATCACTTCCTGTAAAATAATTCCTCAAAAATATGTCCCTACTTTCCAACCGCCAACAACAATCTATAAAAATTACACTAACACAAAGGTTTCATTTAGATGAGTTTATTAGTTTTTGAGATTTGCGACGGTTTGCTTTGAATGACCCAAATATCGACACAAAAATAAAATCACTTCATTTTTCAAACGTTTTTTATGGTATCAGTTATACACCTATCAATTCTATCTTCTGGCTTAACACACTGGCATGTTTTACTCTTAGCTGACAAAGTACACACTTTTGATTTGATTTATTAGGTACTCGACATAACAATACAAGAGAAACAAAGACAAAAGAGCACCAGGATTACCCATTAAATCGACGATAGTCATGCTCATTTTCAATGGGGTCCTTATAACATAATAATACAATGTAATGGTGTTGAAATGGAAATATTATGGAAATAGAAATATGAGGATTTGGTTTTTAGCGTCACATGTTTAAATGTAAAGATGCATTAAACATATTCCCAATAAGCTCCGAAAAAAGTGAAGTTACTACATATAAAACCTTGAAGCCCTAATACCATACTGGGCACGCTAGTCAATGGTAGCAAAATACTTTAACAAAGAATGGATAATAATAATAATAATAATAATAATAATAATAATAATAATAATAATAATAATAATAATAATAGTAATAATAATAATAAATAATAATAATAATAATAATAATAAAAATAAATAATAATAATAATAATAATAATAATAATAATAATAATAATAATAATAATATTCTTACTATTTTTTTTAAAGTTTTTGTTGAATTTGAATCGAATTTGAATTCTTATCATTAATTACCATTTTATTTTTTATTGGAAACATCAAAACCAGTAAGAATTAATTTCACGTCTTGCTATTGAATCTAATGTAAATTGTTATATAAATCAATCAATTCTTACAGTTATTCTTATTGAAATGTATTTAATTTATTTTTATTCTACTAGAAATTTAACAGAATCCATCCAGTAATTTTTTTATAGTTATTCTTATTGACTAAAAAATAATTTCTTATCACTTTATTCTCATTATTCAGTACAATTTGAATTTATATTGGAATTTTTCTTTTTTAAGAAATATGAAATCATTTTAAATCAAACAAGATGTTTAATTCAATATACGTAAGACTGTAGTAACAAGTAAATCCGCAGAACCTATTTTTTTTATATGGCTAGCCTTATTTTTGGAAATTAGTAACTTATTAACTTTTTAAAATGATCCACTCAGTGTTAACGTGTCTTAATGTACTTTTAATGTATTCATTAACAGTATCTACCATATGTATTGATGGCAAAGGCGCAACAATTTCCTTTTTAAACCAGGAAATATTTTAATAACTATAAAACAGACAGAGAATCACACCATTTAACAATTGTCGTATTTGGGGAAAGTCCCTACGCACGAAAAAAATGATTCGAATATGGATTACTCGGTCATTTAGTGTAAAGCGATACATTCAATATAATGCAATCAACAGCGAATGAAATTGTCAATTGGTGAGTTCTAACCCTGCAGTGTTTTAGTTGAGAGGTATTGAGTTCGAGACCGACGCCACATTGTATCTATACTTGGGCATCGTCCAAGACACCAAATCTACATTTTCCTACACTCAGGGTTAAAAGGGGTACTTGGTAGGAGGTGAAAGTTCTGGAAAGAAATTGGTGCAATAGAATAGTCCAGTGTGTGTGTATATACTGTCTCTTATACACATCTAGATGTGTATAAGAGACAGGTGCGCGGCAGCGTATCGCCGATTGTCAGGGTTATAAAAAGGCTGCCGCTCGTCGATTCTTGAAAATCATAACCGCACTAGACATCGCAGTATCAACATCACCATATTGATATCACTCCATTTTAATATACCTATTCCCCTAAATGCTGCCTATACGCCATTGTAAGATTACTGTAAGATAGAAACACGTTCAGTAATTATTTGGTCGTCTGGAACACGTCAAATACGTCTACATACGTCAATATACGTAGGAGATAAGTTATAAGTTACATTTAAGATTGAAGCACGTTACTCATAGGTTAGAAATACATTTTGACTTTCGAGTAACTTACAAGTAACGTGTGTCAACGGGTGTCAATGATCGCCACCTTGCATTCACTGTCGGCGGAAAATCATAACGTTTTGCGTCAGAAAAGGACTCGAAAAAAGTGATGGGATAACCTACGGTAAACAATCCATCTTCGTGCCAATTTTGAAAGTCTATGAAGGAAGCAACATAGACACACTTGACTTAAGTAAAATGTTGGGGAATTTTTAATTTTGACCCAAACAAATTCCGATGTGATCCATTGGGCACAAGTAGTATCAAAGACGTTGGTCATGATTTTTTCATAGGTCTGTCTGTTTTTGTAAATCGTTTAGACAGACATTAATGTTGTTCGTTGCAAAAAAGTAGTTATCGTAAAAATCGTAATTACTTCCTCATAATTGCTTTCTCACACTACACCATTCTGAACCCCTATTTAAAAAACTGAAAATGCTTAGCATACATGATATAAATATGGTAAATGTGTTTTGCTTTATATTCAAATACGTCAAAAAACATTATTTACCTGACAGAATATTGGAAAAGCTAAGTGATATTAAAATTGTAGAAAATACCCTATTTAAAAAATTGAAAAGGCTTAGTATATTTGATATAAATATGGTAAATGTGTTGTGCTTTACGTTCTAATACATCAAAAACATGATTTACCTGACAGAATATTGGAAATGCTAAGTGATATTAAAATTGTAGAAAATATATCTAAGTACAACTTAAGAAACCAACAGAAATTAAGATGGCCATTTACCAGGCTTACAGCAAGCCACCAGTTCATTAAAGTATATGGTCCAAAGTTATGGAATTCCATTTCTGAAATTCAAAGTGTAACATCTGCAAACACATTGAAACAATTCAAATCAAAACTTAAACTGACTTTATTGAAACTCAATAATTCAATAAAACTAATAGTAATGAAGGCTCCAAACATAACAATAATGATAAATAATAATGATAAACTGTCATTTTAATAATAAAAATAATTAGAGTTAGGGTATCGAATTACATTTGTAAGTAATCAGAGAATAAACATTATGTTTATCTTATTTATACGGAGGAGTGTTTATTTTCTGTTCATTTTCATGTTTAATGTTGCTTTTGCTGTCTTTGAAGAGGGACAACCGTGACAGATTAGTAAGAGTTTATATGTCGTCCCTTGATTATTTTCTATGTATACTGTAACTATTATTTGTTTAAATTCCATGCATGTTTATAAATGTTCGAATAAATATTGAATTGAATTGAAAAGCCAAAATAATACTTGTTTCAATCGGATCACAACGAGTGTAAATAGCCACAAATGGGTCATGAGGCAAAACTGTTTTAATAACTTGTTTAGCAAACCCTCGGACAGCCAATAATGGTGAAAAAATAACTTTTCACTTTTGGCCAGTAATCCCATCCTCCGCCACGAAAATGGAAATTTCAGGAAAAAATCATATTATGTCATCGGCTCCCCTGAAATCTCCAAAATATAACATATATTTCTTCCTTAATATAAACTTTAAGCATTTATGCACCTCATTACTACACTGTTGACATTCATAGATAAAATTATATTTTAATTTTCTCCTCCAACTAGATGTTTTTGGCAAAATCATTTTGCGAATACAAGAAAACACAATTTTATTTTAAAATGTTTCCGCCCTCATTTAACAACTATAAAAAAATAAGTTTGCTACACAAGGTGTTAAAAAAAAGTCTCGCCAAATCTGTGAGGTACTGGGGGAGGGGGGTACAGAAAGAAGTTAACTGCAGTATAAATAAGTTTAAATGACTTTGGGGTGGGGGGAAGCGGCCTTTCGCAAGGCTGTGAGGTACTGGGGCGGGTACATGGTATTTGCAGGAAGAGGTGCAGGAAGAAAACTGCTGTATAAATAAGTTTAAATGACTTGGGGAACCGTCTTCTGTTTTGTCACCTTCCCATCTTTTGAGAGACATAAAAGCCAAGAATTTGTCTGAAAATTATTCTCATAAATGCTGTATATAGTGTTGTTTTCGATTTTTACTGTTTGTTCTTTTTTGTATAAACTCAAAGAAACAAATCTGTATATATCTATTATGTATGACGATAATAAATGAATCTTGATTCTTCAGCTTTAAGAAGAGAATTTACTATTATTATTATTCCTTCCTTTGAATATGCACGTTAACAGCTTCCATTTGAATATTGAAATTAGAAAATATATTCCTCAGCAATTACAACATAAATTAACACCGATTCTACGTTGTATTGCATTGATCCCATTCCATGATTGGTAATTTAATCAACGCTGGTAATTCCATAGCCAAAAAATCAGAAAATTCAAATACTTTAAATCTGTTTTAAAAGTTGACAATTTATTTGACCCTTTTATAATATAAGCAAGGCTATGTTGCCCTGGTTTTTCAGATTTACTAATCAAGCAGCAATTTTGGTAAAATATTATTTTCAAATGGTGTGATGTTGAACTTCTATTTATAATTGAACCAAAATAACATCTGCATTTCCCTGGACATTTTGATCGCAATCGGCAAAATTTTCAAGTGACTGTTTTGTCAAAGGCCTATTAGAATGCATGAGGAGAACACTGACAATATATAAAATCAACTCTTATTTCGTACCTCAGAATAAAATCGGAGAGGGCTTAGTACACCCAAAGGATACAACTGAGAAATGGACGCATCTATGAGATACGCTGTTTGAACTGCAAACATACATACATAGGCGAAACAGAAAGACCCCTTGCACTAGAGTCAAGGAGCAGACATCTCGCAATACGTACATGTAGGGGGAGTAATAACCATGGCCCAACGATATTCCACATCTGCAACCCAACACAAATCCGCAATTACTGATTATGCCTCACATTATAATCATATACCAGAACATGAAAGGGGATGAAGGTTCCTATTAACTCTCAAAAATTTACAACAAACTATTAAACACAAAAGGAGCAGGCGGGGCCCCGACCACCATCACCGCATTACGTCAAAAGACTGATGACATAACGACCAGACTGAAGTAACAACATAGTCAGCTGAAAAAAATCGGCGATTGTGATCGATGTTATTTTAGTTAAATCATAAATGAAAGTTCAACGTCACTATATTATAGAAACCAGATGAACTCTTTTAATTATTTGTAATGATGTAAATAGAAATAAGGAAACAAATGAAACGGATACAAGACTTTTCTATATTAAGAGAGCTTAAAATATATACTTTGTAAATTATTAATTCAGGTAGAAATGTCAGGGACTTTTTAATGTCCTCTAATCTAAATCGCATTTCGTACATTCCTTAGAGTCTAATATTTTCATTTGGAGAGGTCAACAATTGAATCTGGTTTCTAAAAAAATAGATCTTTCAATTCAGAGAGTCTTGGATGGAGAGGATATTCCTGTGTACTGCTTTAATATTTATCCAAAAATGATTTCAAACAATATGGAAAAATGACATGACCAATACCACATGTACGAAAAATTTCATAACCAACAGATGTTTTGAAATTTAAGTTTGCTTTTTTACAAAATTTTAACAAATTTGATGACGTCAGCATCACAGATGTATGGATGCACATGCATGGACGATTTCTGTACAGCATAGGAACCAATGATAATGCAGTATGTTAGGACATATATAGCACTTCAATATGTTAGAACTTCTATAGCGCTTTGAGTAGTCATGAAGCTAATCCTCAATAGTTCTGCCAAACGGCTCCTACAGAAGGCTTCTTTATGGTTCAACGATTTAGAAGTAGGTATGTACATTAAATTATCATTCATCATAACTCATTGAGTTTAATATTGTATATTTTCACAGAGCAGTCATTACTACAGCTAGCAAGTTGTAGCCATTTTTCGTCACTGTTGCCAGCATTATCAACCTGTGACCCCACTCGTCCAAGCCTTGGCCTCCAACGCAAACGTTTCACAGTAAGAGAGTGCCGTAAGCTGTTGGAAGAAAGGATTATAAGAGTATGTTCATTAATTAGGCCCATGGTCAAGGATTGCCAATAGCAAATTTAATCACTGTCCTACTTAAATTCCACAGAAACTAATACCCCATTCAGACTAGCATCGCATTGCGATCTGTTGTCGCAATTGCGAAACCCAATCGCACCCAATTGCAAAGTAAAATCGTGTGTGAATGCTCACCAATATTAGTCGATAAGTAATCGATATTGCAAATGTGACCTGTTGAGATTGGTTGCTACAATCTTCATTACTCTCAATTACCACGGAATCCGATCGCAACGAATTCCACAGGCACTTTTTGGCTGAGGTCAGTCAACATAAGCCTAACCACCGGAGGCCTAGACACTTGAATCGCAACAGAGTGTAGTCTGAATAGGGTATATGTCTCATTAGCAGGCTGAGAGAGTGGAGTTATTTTTGGTTGTGAGAAAAATCCTGTAACATTGACAGGAATTGAACCTAGGACCCAGTGACTGGGAGGCATGTATCTTAACTACCAGTCTATTCAACTCCAATCCAGTTTTAAACACAAACTCTTTTAATAGTTGTAATTTCTATGAGTTGAAAAAATGTAGACTTAAAATACTTATTTTTTTGGCCGAGAACGGAACTTTCTAGATCGATCAATCATTCAATTTATCATTGTTAGGGAATTTTGGCTCTAGCATGAACAGTTAACTAGCTAAATGCAGTGGTGTATCTGTGAGTCTTGAAATGGGGGGGGGGAGAGGCCGCAAAATAATTTTTTTTCATATGAGGTGATTATTTTCACTTTGGCATGATTTTCTTTTGATTCAGACATGTTCAATGGGGGAGGGGAAAAGCTTTTTTTTTTTATGGGAGGAGGGTATGGGCATCGTGAGCCCCTAGATACACCACTAACTGAATATTGTAGAGTTGAGTTGTCATATAAAGAAGTACACTATGAGTAGAATATATAACAATCCTCTCCCTCAACCCAAAGCATTCTTAGCATTTCCCCATTTCTGTCCCCTCCTGCATAAACACAATATGCATCCAGTTGTAACCCAACTATTTCAGCTGGTATTACAGTTCAGCACCTATAAGACCTGAAAATTTGGGGTGGTCTCGGAGTTCAGTCTTCAATTAGAGGGTTAGTTTTGTGTTAAAATATTGAAGATTGTTATTTGGTTCTTAGAAAAAGTGGTTTGAGGGGTCTCAGAATTAGAAGGGTCTCAGAATTAGAGGGGTCTTGAATTGGAGGGTGTACTGTATCTCAAAATACTTAATCAGAGTGTTAACTGTTAGTTTATGTCTAGATATTAGTTGATATTGAATACTGAACACTATACCTTTGGTCAAAATCAAAGCACAGATTCCATTCTGTTGTTGCGGGATGCCACTTGAATAATTTTATTGCTCCTGATTCAGTTCCAATACTTAACAAATAGCTGGAAATATAATTTAAAAAAAAAAGTTATTACTCCTGAGCAACGACAATAAATATGATTGAGATTGACTGATTAAGATTGATTACACAAATCATTCATTTTAAATAAAACAAAGCAATGTGTCCCCAGTTTAAATACAACCAATCTCAACAAGATAATTTAAGTTGTTTATTTATTATCACAATCAAATACAATATAATCATCTTTTAAATAGCTGTGTATTATGCTACATATGAACTGTTGAACCAAGAATTGATAAGTGAGGGGTAATGGACTGGAGTGTGCAGTCTTAGCCTGTACAATCCTTGCTGGTATCACCACTCCACAGTTATCACCCACCTACCTGTGGCGACATGAGAAATCTCTGATGAGTAGTTTAAGTTCCCCGATTAGAGGTCCTAAATTAATGACAGTTACCCAGAATTGCCACTTTTAGACTGTAAAAAAAGTATTTTTCAAGTAGTGTTCCAAAACAAAAGAAAGATACCCTTTTCCCCAACATGGGTTTTAGCGTTTCCACAACAGTATCTATCACAGGGTTCCTTGACAGGAGTCCTGTGTTCTCTTGGACCCCCCTCCCCCCATCACTGCCACCAACTCGCAAATCCATACAGACATGCATACTGAATGTTACACAAACTATGACATCATTTGTCTTTGGTACCAACCAGAGTAAACATACCGGTACTTAGACACACCCGCACCCACCCCTCCCCCCCACACACCCCCATACTATACAAACTATGATACCTTCCATCCTGAGTGGAAACAGGAGCAAACGCAATTGCTGTGGCAGCATCTTTGACATCAAGTGGTGATGAGCAAGACTTATAGTTGCCAAGGCAACTTGCTGATGTTGAATATGAATCTTTTCCCCAGATTATAACCTTTAACATGCAAAACATTCAAATTAAACGATTCCATTTAACCATCTATGTTAGTCATAAACCATAATATAGTATATTTATACTCATAAGAATGCAGTCTACATTGGGAAGTATTTCCTTGTTTTATTATTGTAGGATTGTGGAATGTTGGGACTATTTCACCAACCCCCGGGCCTTGGTTGGGCATAGCATTGCACATGGTACGATTTTAAGCTTAAAATTAAAGCTTATAAGCAAGTTTTTAAAGAAAAATGTACAGACATAAAAAATTACTTAAATTACATACTAAATTTTTAATTTGTATTTTTATGATATTCTTAAATAAATTATAAATCATCATACAGTGTTTAAATAAGGACATGGTGGAACATCGTAGGCTACCCTGTAGCTTTTCAACGAATAAAGTCCTATAAAAGTCATTGTGTAATAAAATGCCTCCGATGGGATATTTATTCAACAGTGTTAACGGCTAACTCCCTTCAATATCAAGTAAATTAGTTAGCAAACAGTATCTGACCGTGATTTACAGAAACTTACAGTACAAATGTTCTATTCAGTATCCAATGTTTTGATTTAATGACTCATACAGGTGGTGTCACTACCTCAAAGTAAAAAAGCGCAAAAGGTGGAATCCAGAGCCGCCGCAAACTTAGTCAAGGGCCAGCGCGCACAAATCTCGCAAGGCTCAGCCTTGCTACACGTGCGACACAACAGGCACTCCGAGTGCCGGTCGAGCTTAACACTCGGTTTGGGGCCCCCACACGCCGAGCACAAAGACTTGCGAGCGGACATGCCGATCGAGACTACAATAAAAAAAGGATATCTTGTCAAGTTGAAAATAAATCCAAGGCAAAAATAAATCCAAAGCAAAAATAAATCCAAGGAGAACAAAATTGCTTGAAAAGACTGCTAGTAATTTTCAAAGGCTAGAATGTATCCAACTTCAAACAACGTCGAAAAGGGAATGAGGACGTTTGTTAGGGAGACGGTTCGCACGTGGCGCCTTGGGTCGGACTGTTCAATTTTTTTTTTCGAAGGGGTGTTCCCTTTTGGGAACAATGGCAATTAGTCGGTTATCCAGGTAAGTATTCACGAAATAGACTAAACAAGCGCAAAAGGTGGATTCTTTGCCAGAATTCAACTTAGAACCTCGAAATTAGAGAGAAAACATTGTAACCATCCATCCACAACTCTCTTCCAGTTACAATGAGAAATATTATTTTATCTGCATTCCTACCTTCTTGTCCCTTGACGCAGTTGCAAAGAAGTTATCATCATGAGACCATGAACATGCCCATATGATACGTCCATGGATTGCCGTCTTCTTATCCGTAAATGCAACTCTACTATATAACGGACCATCAAGGGTAGAATTTGGTCGACGTCTGAATAGTGACCATGTTCGGTCGCGTGACACGGACAACAGATGTTCACCATCGTGAGAAAAAGCAAGTTGTGTAATGGTTAACGAATGGGATGGTAACTGACATAATTGTTTCCATGTTGAAGTATCCCATAAAATGATGGCAGCATGTTCTGGTCTTGTAGCCTTGAAAAGGCAAAAAAGTATGACATGTATTATAATTATAACTACAGTGTCATCACCATCATTCATATTTATGAACATACATTTTTTAATCATCATTTAGGAGGGTGAAGCCAAATCTGTTCCAAAGACTGCTTTCCACTGTGGACCCTCAACAAAATTAAGTCTCATTATGAATATGGCTTGGGAAGAGGAGTTATTTTGGTCATGGGAAGAAAACCTATACTGTGACAGAAATTCTACCCAGGAACTTGGGAATGAGATGAGATTTGACCCCCATGCTATTAACTCCACTAGCCACCAATTACTACTTCAATTAAAATTCTCATCAGAGCCTGTTCAGCAACTGCATCAGGTAACATTAGATGAGCTTGGAAAAATGGATGAGGCTAGGTTGGCCATTGGATGAGGTTACCAACCAGGTGAGGTTAATATACACTGTATGAGGTTGGACAACTGGGTGAGGTTACTTAACTGGGTTAGGTTAGTTAGTACCATAGTATGAGGTTGGGCAAGTAGGTGAGGTTAGTTAACTGGGTTTGTAGTTTGTACACTGTATGAGGTTTGACAACTGAGTGTGGTTAGTACCACTGCAAGAAGTTGGACAACTGGGTAAGGTTAGCTAGTACCACTGTATGAGGTTGGACAACTACATAGGTGAGATTAGTTAGTACCACTGTAAGAAGTTGGACAACCGGATGAGAACCTGGTACTTACCTTACATGCTGAGGCAACCACAGTACCCGATGGATGGCTGGCTAAACAGAAGATTTCAAATCCATGACCATACAGCTTTTGAGTCTCAGGCCACAGACTGTTCTGCAGAAGGTGTTCCTCTGTTGGTGGTTCTAGTAACAAAGAAAATCCCAGGTGTTTAAAGAACAAGAATGTTTTCAATTTATGATGGAAAACTTATTCAAGGTTGTTTTATATATATTTTATAAGCTGAAATGATACAATCATCTAAAATAAACTGGAATTACGCATGTACAGATGTGAAAGCATTTTTGGCATTTTTAACAGTCAAAACCTACAGGAATTTTGCCGTTAATGCTTACCTGCATTAATTATATGAAATCACAATACAAAATTACTACTACTACTAATACTAGTACTACTACTAACAATAATAATAATAATAATAATAATAATAATAATAGAGTAATAATAATAATAATAATAATAATAAAATAATAATAATACTAAACAATAATAATACATGAATATTAATTAAAACAATAATACATATTTCAAACTACCACATCATCATCAAAAAATAACCTTAGAACTTATGGAAAAACATATATTTGCCAAAGACTAAATCTATGAATATACAACTTATTCGACTTACGATTTAGGCTCACTGATGAAAAGTATATTTCCGAGTAAAGCTCACTAGGATGGTTGATTTCTCTGTCAGACACTGGTGCCATTGACTCTCCTTCATACACTGCCTTGTTAGACAGACCCAGGGCCGGTACACTGGCCCCCATTGGTGCATTTTTGGCCGACTAGAAAAATATATAAAAATATGTCTGGAAATAATACAAACACTGATAAATTTTGAAAGTTGCATTTCCTTAAGAAACTTCCGTCAGGTTTCACCTTACTTCAGGTAGCTCCTTGCTTCATGTCAGAGGCGGTGCTAACAAGGGGTCCAGGAGGGCTAAGGATCCCCATCGGGGACCTCTGGACCCCTGCTTGAACCCCACCTGTCGAGAAGTTTCCAGCAAAGTCATCTGGGAAAAATGAAACCTCGACTGCCAAAAGTACAATTTTAGTATGCCTTACTTAATTTTAGGGACTAAAAACTGTTTAGTACAGGCAGTGCTTCCGTATGAGAAAGGTGTTGTTTACTAACACGATCGTATGGGTAGCGGTGGAAGCACCAGATCTTCCCCGACAGGGGACTGGTACCTCCGACAGGTAGTTAGTACCTTCGATAGTGGCCTCTTAACTTGCATGGTTTTCAATCAAGTTATCCTATTTAAATAATGAATACCATAATCAACTCAATTTTTCCCCGACGGGGGAGGAGGTGGTAGGCTTCCCCGGCTGAGGGGGTTGAGTTTGGAACCCTCGTCGGGGTTTTGGATCCCCTTGTCGGGAGCTTGGACCCCTCGTCGGGGAATTCCTGGCGTCGCTCCTGCTTCATGTACCTCTTGGCACAATAAATTATAATTCATTTCATTCTCATCCAATAAGAATTAAGGCATCCTTGGGTTACACGGTAAAAATTGTCTTGGGAGGAGGTCATAGGAAGTGTGTAGGGTGGTTTCTAACAAAGCTTCTTTTTAGTGCTAACTTAGAGCAAATATTGTACCTTTTCTAATTCCTCTCCTGTTAGCTTAATTTTGGACAACTGCGAGAAATTCTGGAGGAAATTGATAGGTGCGTCAAATACACGAACTACCTAGTTAGAGGAAGAGAATAAAAAAATATACATATATATATATTTACATTGTTATAGAGCAATGCAGAGTATTGCATGGGAACAAAGGAGAGTGTTACTGACTTTTATCAGCACTCAGTTGAATGCAAGAGCTTGTAAAGTTGATGCTTGCAGTTTTGTTTTTGAATAAACTAACTCAGAAGAAAGACAACCAATAATGTTGTTTGATATCACCTTTGTGCTTAAGTATATTGTAAATTTTTTATATTTTTCTTATTTTAAGGATATACCACTTCTGAGACTGTGTGCCACTGTTTTAAGTATGTATTTCTAATATAAAATATTCAATTACTGTTGTATTCTGCTTTGGCATGTCAAATACATACTTATTTACTGTCAGAAGTAGTTCTAAGAATGATCATACAACACTACACAAACATTACTTACTTTCTCATCCGCACCAGACACAAATCTATTTCTAGAGACCATTGAAATGCACTGCATATCATAGCCATGAACTTGAGGGCGTGCTATCTCATGCCAACTGACCTGTGAACAACAAAATTTTAATGCCTGTAACCATTGTTTTATTCACAGCATTATCAACAGATGTATCTTTCATTAGAAACCTTGTGTTGTTAATTACAATATTTTTGTACATTCAATCATTTAATCATCCTTACATTTACTTTTATTCAATAAGACAAATTCATTAAAAACTAAGACTACTATTCCATTTTTAATATAATTTATACGGAAAAATGCTACAACATAGACACAAGCTTTAATTTTATTGTATTTTTAAAATGCACACATCCAGGTTAGATATTTCATGATATATAAACTGAGAGGAATGAGGATTATTA